CCTCCTCCCTTTCCCCCTCCAGCTTTTTGAAGTTGAGCCATCATATTCTGCAAGCCACCCATACCGCCCATTTGTTGTAATACACGAGGATCCATCATCTTAGCCATCTGCTGGTTCAGCTTCATCATCTGCGCAGGGTTGACGTTCTTGGGATTGATATCGCCATTCTTCCCCTAAACCAAGTTATCTCATCGGGATATAATAAAGCACACATAGTAGAAGTGAATGCAAAATTAAAAGGATAGTTAGTGCAAAGGGTCAAAATGCTGACCGAATTATCGTTTCGCATTAAAATAACGAATACTGAAAACAAAAAGAAACGATGAAACGAAGAACAAAGAAACGTACAGAGAACAGCCCTTTGATTGATCCCATCTTTTTAACCATGTCAGCGAACTTTTTGTACTGACTGAGCAAATCTCGGACCTTAACTCGAACTTTTCAGTTACCATATGACGATGAGAACCAGAAAAAATCTTACATCAGCCTGCGTGGTGCCAGACCCCCTTGCTACACGGACAACGCGACCTGGTTCTTTCGTAAAAAGTTCCGATGCCTTTGGATGGTCCAATTCTGAAAAGAATTTGCAGATCAGGTCTTGCGAATAATAAGTATAGAAATGTACCTGTATCGCTCATGGAATCCATTATAGTCATGAGCCTCTTCAGGCGACCAACTGATTCCTTCTCATTGCCTTTGGTCATAAATTCAGGACCAAATCCAGGAATCATACTCTGTTAATGTTCTATTTGCGAAGCGTTTCTTAAAAGCACCGCGCCCTTCAACCATATTAAAAGCATACCATTATTTGACTGAATGGACCCATTTTCATGATATTCTGGAATTGTTCGTACATATCACGAAGAGTAAATAGACCTGAACAAAATCTATTACAACAGGAATTTTGAAATACTATTCAATACTTGCGACAAAAATTACCGTGTTTCAGACGGCTAACAAGTTCTTCGTTGTCTTTTATGCCAATATCGTTGACCATATCAACCAAACCAGCAATATCGCCCATTCCGAGTAACTTCTGCACAAATGCCTTCGGTTTAAACAACTCGAAGTCGTCTATGTGTTCACCCGTACCAACGAAGCTGACAGGAGATTTTGTAACGGCCACACTAAACGTATAATTTCAGAGAACAATCGCAGATGCCATGTCAAGCCGCATATCTTTCTGTTCACGTTTCTCATATTTAGCAGAATGCAGCCCTATTTCCTGATACAATGTATTCAGATAGCATTCAGTTAACTATACTAACCACTGAAGTTGGAAGTGTTTTGCCAAAAATTACCCGGTACTACACCTGGTAGATATTTTATTGATAATTTTGTGTCAATTCGTCTTCACGTATAATCCCAAGGATTATCTTACACAGCCTTGATTATTACTCAAAATGGGTGAAATATACTCTAACATGATGCAAATTGGTCAAAAGAACAGGACGTGTAGAGATATAAAAACACACTGGAATGTGTTGAAACAACTGGAATCTGTAAGCAAATGTCAATAGATAAAAGAATGTTAAGAAGTTCCGAACAGAAACACTGAGTTGGAATTTGAAGTTTACAGGTTGTTGGGTAGTCTCATAAGAAACTTCAGTTAATGAAAGAAAGAAAAAACTATCTGTGAAAAAGAACTTACGCAGATAGTGCACCACCTCCTTTCGCATGGGAATCAAGCTTAGTTATAATCACAGATGCAACATCCACTGTTTCCGAAAAGGCACGCGCTTGTGCTTCACAGGCTTGACCAATAGAGGCATCCATCACAAAAACTACATTATCTGGGTTCTAAAAAACTTCTTATAGAGACTGAAGATTGCGATCCTAGCTGTTTAAGTGATATTGAAATTCTATCTTACCACAGCGTTTGATACTTGGAGCATTTCCTCGAACAATGACGCTTCCTGTTTGTGCCTTCCGGAAGTATCAACGATTATGATTTCGAAATTTTCTTTCTTAAATTTTTCAACACCTTCCGCAGCAATTATTACTGGATCCATTTCCGAGTAAGAACCTGCAAACATTACGTTATGCACAAATTAGAGAGTTAGTAAAACCGAATGCTACACTAGAAAATCAAGAGATCGACAGTTTGACCTACCATAGAAAGGTATCCGCGCCTTCGTAGCATTTTGCTTCAGCTGATCGAAAGCTCCAGCACGGAAAGTGTCTGCGCAAATCAGACATGTTTTCCATCCCTTACGTTGATAGTAGTACGCCATCTAGATAGACAAATTTAATAGAAACCTTATCTTCTAAAAAAGCAACCATAAAATCTTAGTTGATACAGACACCTTCAGATACTATTGCTACTCTCCAAGAAAAACTGTTTCACTACCTTAGTACACGTTGTGGTTTTTCCTGATCCTTGCAGACCGACAAACATGATCACATTATGTTGTCCTTTTTTGGGCTGATATGGCGTGACACACAGGGATCCACCAGTTTAAGAAGTTCGTTGAATACTGTCTTCTGTATCAAACGTCGCTTATTTACACCACCAACCATCTCCTCGAAATTTATGGCTTTCCTATAATAACATCGACTGTATAAACGCACTGCCAGAACAGACTTACTCATCTACTCACTTCACATTATCCTTTAACTGTTTCACCAGTCGTATATGAACATCGGATTCAATGAGTGCCATGCACACCTGAAAACATGCTTAACATCATTTTGGCCGTTGAATGTAAGCCGTCAATTTGTAAGGTTCAGCAATCCTACCCACAAATCACAGTACTATGGCCTACAGGTCCTACCGTGATCCTCACTCGTACAATTACCCAAATGTGACCTACGTGCAAAAGCAATTTCGCGACCACTCTAATCTCTTCCCTCTTGCCTTAGTAACTTGGAGAATACTCGTAAACGAGCAATTCCGCTTACCTCTTTGAGCATAGCATCAAGCTCTTCCTCATTGATAATGGTTGCCTGACCAAGTTTGCCGATGGCATTTCGAATTTTTCGTCCAAGATCAGCCAACACCATTCTAGGAAAGAACAAAATTACCACAAACATCATTCAGAAACGAGCAAGGATGATCAAGAAATATCAGACCAAGATCCTTACACATGCTTCAGAGAGACCGTAAGTGGTAGGCAGTTTAGAAATTACCAAAACAAATTCGCTACACAAACACATTATAAGTGGTTGCAATGAGTTCGAAAAGAAATTTTGAAAATGCCGAAAAGTCAACGCGAATGTGATCCTGTTTACACAGCAAATAACCCGCTATGCAAGAGCTGATCACGGATGTAATCCAACGGTAATTTCACAAAAAAACCCCAGCAAAATGAATTGAGTTGGAGGATTGCAAGATTCACGTGTCGGTAGGAGCAAAGTTCTGCAGATTTGCGAAGAACACATTAGACGCGCTTTTACGGACACACGCTTTGAATTTGTTTCCGAATGCGCTGTGTGTGCTGGGGCGCCACTTTAGCGCGTTTTCGAAAATTGGTGATTCTACTGGAAGGAGTGTTATCGAACGGACGACTCATTGGACATTAAAAAGCCATGCGAGGTGACAAGTGCTGCCACTTGCAGATTTTTTTGCAGGTGGGAGGAGGGAGGGGGCTTCTTCACCCCTCCGGTGACTCCCATCCCCCGTTTTCCGGACAAGTGTGCTAGCTCCACTCACTATCGAGGCCACTTCACCGCTTCATATTCGGTGACTCACGAGTAGAGCAAGAAGCTTATTTAGAGGTATTCCTATTTTTTTAACCGCCGAAAAATGCGGAAGTAGGAAGAATTGACTTCTCCCAGCTTTACGGGAGATTTTAGCAGAAGAAGACTTTTTATTTGCTAGTTTTTCAGAATAGATGTAGTAGTTTCGGAAGCGTGGCGCCATCTGATGCCAGTTGACGCCACCTTGTCACGACACCTCTTTTCACCAAATTCGGTGTAAACTTCGGTATAGGGGTTATTTGGTGTTCTAATTGCGAATATCCCGCTCTCCTGGGCTCTACCACCTATACATAGTGCCTGAGACTAAGCTTAGAGGGTAGGGGTACCCCAGGGAGGGTGAACTAGGCAACGGGTGGCAAAAGTTGAAGCAAGGGAGACGCATGGTGAATGGCTTACGCACCTCAGAGCAGGGTCAACCCTACGTTGTTACGAGTAACAACGGGGGGGGGGGTCGTACTCAGTTGAGCTTGGAGGGGGGGTCGTACCTCTCGGTGGCCGACAGTGGGATTCTTGGTAATATCGGATAATAGCCAGCACGTTACGTTTTCGTAAGATGACTGATACTAGAGCATCTATAAACCACGCTTCCCTCTAAATGAGCTTTCAAATGAATCAGCGAATTAGAAGGGCGCCCGAGGCGTGGCGCGCACCAAGGCAAGGGATGTAGTGCAAGCGCATGCTCGAAGCTTTCTAGCACATCCTAAGTTAAACATGAAATTGGTCTTCCAAGAAGTTACGGGCAGTGAAACCTAAGAAAACCCGCGTTTTCGGGAAAATGGCTTGAAGAATACCCCTCAAAAAAAAAGTAACAACGGGACTAATTTCTGAACTGATGACTTTTTAGGAACCCTTTGGAGCTCCTAAGAAAGCCTGAATCCCGTAG